CGCCCGTGATGGGGAGCGTGCCGCAGCCCTTCCCGCTGCCTGCCCTCCCTGGCCACGTTTTGGTGGGTTATTTTTTCTTTTAACCCTGCCTCTGTGAAGAACAACGATGGTAAATTCATTAGCGGAGAATTGCGGAGCTGTGGGGAGCGCGAGGGGTGGCGGGAGGTTGGGAAGGGAATAAGGAGGGGCCATAGTGAGCACTTGCAGGAGCGTTGGGGGACGAGAAGATGTCCCGCTGCCTGCCCTCCCTGGCCACGTTTTGGTGGGTTATTTTTTCTTTTAACCCTGCCTCTGTGAAGAACAACGATGGTAAATTCATTAGCGGAGAATTGCGGAGCTGTGGGGAGCGCGAGGGGTGGCGGGAGGTTGGGAAGGGAATAAGGAGGGGCCATAGTGAGCACTTGCAGGAGCGTTGGGGGACGAGAAGATGCTGCTCCTCCTGTCCCCAGGGCACCTACCCGGGCTCTGCAGGGCACTCCTGAGGCTGCCTGCCCCAGCGTCTGTTCTTTATCAAGCAAGGCAGGGAAATGCCGTTATCCCCATTTTCTAGGCAGCGGTAAGACTTGTGCAGGTTCCTAGGTACCCGCAAGAGCAATTATTTGCAAGGAAATGTGCAGCCTCCATCCTGTAGCCAGACCTCAGAGAGGGAACATGCCTATGGAGTTATCTCCAAATAATGTCCCAAAGCAAAGAGCAGCGGCTTTCCATCCCTCCCACCGCGCTCCACCGGCATCATCGTACAGGACGGTGCCTCTCCTCGGCCCCACCAGCTCTGCTGCATGCTCGCGGCTGCTTTGGTACCCCTCCGCTCCCATCGTGGAGGTGGCCTGAAAATGTTGGTCCTTGATCTAATGCTTGACGTGGTGCCTCGAGCTTGCTCATGCCTTGCCGTGCTTCAGCGGGGCCGGGGATGGAGCCAGAGCCACAGTAAAAATCGCATCCTTGGTGTCCTGCTCGCTTACCGCTCGCTTCTCTCCCAGGTGAGGCCTTGGGGATTAAATACCCCGTGCAAGTGCCATACAAGCGGATCAAGAGCAATCCGGGGTCGGTGATTATAGAGGGGCTGCCCCCCGGGATCCCCTTCAGGAAGCCGTGCACCTTCGGCTCGCAGAACCTGGAGAGGATATTGGCCGTCGCCGATAAAATCAAGTTCACCGTGACGAGGTACGTGGCGAGAGGTGTCAGCCACCCCGCCGAGCAGGAGGGGAGAGGAGGGAGCTGACCTAAATACACCCCCAGTTCTGCCAGCCCCATCGGGGCAGGCCTGTAAATACTATAAATGCCTCCAGCCCCCGAGACAGCTATTAAGTTGGCAGCTAACAGTTCGACAGAAAGGAGGGGACCGTGAAATAGAGACTCCTGCTCTTTCCTCCTGTCTGCTGCCTGGGGAGGTGCTGGCGGGAGAAAACGGTGCTTGGTGCGATGGTTGTGTGGGCAGAGAAATCCCAGCCCCTTTTCTAGGAGTCTTGAGCTAGGAGAAACGTTGCTTGGTTTATTGCTGGTGAAAGGCAGTGCTCAGGGTCCCGCAGCGCTTGGAGAGGCACCGGGCACGGTGCGAGGGGGTCCTGCGGGTTTTGCAGCTAAAGGGGATGGACACAAGCGGGAGGGGAAAGGCGCTTCATTACTGTATCACTGTAAGGTGAGACCGGGAAAACCAGAGGCTTTAAACGTGGCTCCATCACCCTCTGGCTGGGCCACGCTGCCTGTCTTCTTACTGCATGCTGCCCCAAGCAGGGCGCGTGTCCTTGGGGACCGCAGGGACGCCGTCCCCGCAGAGCTCCCGCCGGTCCCGCACCAGTCGTGGCACAGCGTGCGAAGGACAGGCTGATCCCTAACCCTCCCTGGGCCGCGGGAGGATGCTCAGGCCAGGTGTGTTGGCTTCCCGGTGGCGTTTCATTTTAAATCTCCTTTTTTCCTTATTTTTTACAGGCCTTTTCAAGGACTCATCCCCAAACCCGGTAAGAGATGATGCCTTTTTGCCTAAGCAATGCATTGGCCAAGTGTTCAGTGGTGGTCAGGGAGTTGTAAGCTGTGGATGGCGTGCAATAATTTTATCAGCTGGAGGCAGGTTGCCCCTGACTTCACTTTCCCAGGCTTCCCACTTCGGTTTTGTTGTTGTTTGGTGCATTTGCTGAAGTTCCCCTGATCGAGGCCTCAGCGGCACCCGTTGGTACTGCTGCTGTTGCCTTGAAATGACGGCATTTTTCAAGAGCTAATCTAGGGCAGGGATCTGCATTCTGTGTTTAGGAAAGCACCTGCTTTCTTAAGCGTTTTCTTAAAATAAATAAGCGTTGCAACTAGCAGGTTCAGTGGCGAGGGAGGGTCATGGGAAGGGGCTGATTAACTACAGGGTCTGCATCGGGCTGCAGCAGCATGGCAGTGAAAGCCCTCCCCGACTCGTGGGCATCCCGCGTGCGGAAACACGGGGAGGGGAGGATGGGGTGCCCCGGGGGCGCTCTGAACCCAGCGGCAGAAATCACCGTCCCGGAGCCACGTCCTTCCCTGTGCATCGCTGCGGTAGCTCTGTCTCTTGCTTCTAGGCTGCCCAGAAAAGAGAGCTGCCGACAGAAACGTGGGTAAAAACCTGTCTCGGTTTTAAACGTCTGTAATTACAACTGTTGGAAGAGCACAGATGGGTGCAAAAAACATTGTCGTCTTAATTGATGGCTTCCCATTTCTTTGGCCAGCCTCCACGGGGATGGCACAATTTAGGGAAGACAAATATGACAGAGAGGAAAACATTTATATGCCCTTATTGGGAACAGCAAAAAGTTGTTAGACACCCGGGAGGGCTCTAACAAAAGGCGAACTGTCTGAGAAATTCAATCCAAGGCACGGTCCGAGTGTCGACCCTCTGCATCCCTGCATATGGCCCAGCCAAGTCGATGGGGAGGTCCCCTGAGGTCCCCGGATTTTGGGTTTAGACTTCCTATCTTTTGGTCCTAAGCAGCAAGGTGCCGGCTCACATCGGCCGGGCCTTAAACGAGCCCTCGGTGAAATGCAAGTTTTGCAGAACTCTGGTTTTCCACAGAATTACGTGGCTCTAGCGCCGGAGTGAGCCAAGGACGTATCCGCTCCTCCAGCCACATCTTGTCTTCCCATTCCTCCACCGTAATCGGTATAATTACATTAAGAGACGCTGATCTGACACAAATCACACCATTAACAAAGGAGCGCATCAGAAGGCAAATACTTCAACCTGCCAGCTGGCTTGGAAACACAGCCTGATAAATAGAGATGTAGAGGAAATTGATTTTCTTTTCGATGCACAACATTACTTTTTTTTCCTCTTTCTCCAGCTGAACGCTCCCACCACGGGCTGGCCCGTGCTAGCACAAACCCAAAGACATATTTTATTCTGTGTATTGTGGTACCCGAGCGGGCTTGGGAGGAGGTCGCGGCATCCCTGCCGGGCTCGGGGCTTCGTGCCCTCTCCTCCCATGGGGGTTTTAAATAAGATCAGTCGCAGGTGAGGGGTTTTCTTACTTGACATCTCAATTTGTTATAGACTATATCATAGATTTGCTAAATCTTCGGAGACAATTCCAGGACTTAAAATTATTTCCTAGTAGTCAGACTACCACCGGCATGTCTCCTTGAGAAAAAGGCTATTTGTATTTTGCCCCCGAAAAATCCCCGTTGACAGCAATTAACCTCTCGTCTGCTTTTCCACCCCATTACACCCAAGTGGATGGTGGCAACACAGTGGTACATTCATTGTCTTGGCTTTGATTGCTTTTTATCTGCCTTAACAAAATTAATGATTTCCAACTAGGCATAGATCATTAAAAATTTAAATTTAAGAGTGTTCTTTTTACCTCAATCTTGTGTAGTAAAGTCCTGCCATGTAAAATGAAGAGCAGCAGCAGAAGTGCATGCTTGGCATTAAAACAAAATCAATGAAAATCACTTTTATTTCGCAGAGGAGCGTTAAAGTGAAAGCAAGGATAGCATGGCAAAGGCGTCTAAAAGCTGGAAAGCCCAGGAGATGACTGTATAAATATAAGGGAGGTTATGTTTTTTGTGGATCATTTTGGCCAAAAATTACATGAAAAATTTACATTTTAAAGGGAAATTTAACATAAGCTTTTTTTTTTATATTATTTTGGGGTGATTTTAGTTGCCTTTAGGTTAAATTACAGGGCTTAATTTGCTTTAAACAAGTTGTGCACCTCCTGCATTGCAAAGAGCATCCCAGATAACTGCAGGACCGTGGAGGACCGGCCTCCTTATCTCTCTCTTTTGGGGACACCCATTTTTTAAGTGCGACAGAAACAGATAAAAGGATTTCAATATAATCTGAGCGCCAAGCATGCTTTTTCTCAAGATTATCTGTAATTTCTTTGTCGAGATGGTATCTCCCCCCTAATGGGTCACAGTGGGGGGCGAGGCTGGGGGGTGCATGCCTGCAGGGATGCAGTTTGCAGAAGAAGGTGGGGTTTTGGGGGGAATGAGGCTGGTTTTTGGAAAAATAAAGCCGGTGGTGCTCCCCAGTGCCCAGAGGAGGTCAGCTGGCTGCAACCTCCTTCTGCAGTGCGGATTTGCAGCCTTTCGAAGGTGGGACGATGGCCCCGAGGTCACTGGTGCCTCTACCAGCACCTTACCTGTGTGGCTTTAATCCAGGAGCACAACCCTCCTGGTGTCCTGAGGTTTTCCTTTTGATTTCCAATTTTTTTTCTCTCCACCACTGGTATCTGCTCTGCAAAAAAGACCTTCAAACCCCCTTTTTCAAAGCAGAGTGATTTCTCGGCGCTAAAACAGAAGTGGGAGAGCAGGGGTGAAGCTCCAGTGCTACAAACTCAGCACTTATCCTTTCTTTTCTTCTTTTCCTGAGGCACAGAGAAACAAAACAGGCTTAATTTGAGCCTTTGAAAAAAAAAAATCAAGCATAAGTAATCTAGCACACACACAAAAAAAATCTTTCTGTATGTTAATTTTTATGTGCTTTGATTGAAAATGTACACCAGCTCCATCTGTCCTATTCCCCAAACTCTCTACCACCCTGATAGATTATTTCCCATACTCCAATTAATAAAGTAGGGCAGGCAGTGTTCTTTAATTAAAAAAACCACACATCCAGGCATCCTTTTTTTTTTTTTTTTTTTTTTTTTTAATCACGAGAGCACAATCTTCCGCAAGACTTTGATATGTGCCTCATCTTGGAAACTCCTAGCAAGAAAAAAACAGAGGAGAGCACTTGACGGGGCGGTGATGAGAGCTGAGCGCATCCTGCTCCATCACCAGGTTGCTTTTCAGGGTCCATGCTCCTCTCCCTTCACCCCCCAGCCCTGACGTTTAGCCCCCCCCGGGAGCAGCCGGGTTATTTTTCCTTCTGATTTCTTCCTGTTATCCGGGGTGAATTATTTTTTAGTGTTCAGCTGGTTAGTGGTTTTAGTCTGAAGGTGGAAAATCAAGCAGGTAGTGTGAGTAGCTGTGGAGCTTCAGAGCCTGTTTTTAAGCACCTCCACAATTCCAGTCACCTTTTTCTTTGCCTATTTTTTATCTCCTTTTCCCTTTTGCCTGCATGTGTGGCATCCTCACGCCAGCGGGAAGGCAGCACCGTTGCCCAGCTCATCCCATTTGCTTTGCTCTTGCCTCCTTCCTGCTCCCCGCCAGCCTCATATCCTGACGTGTCCTTCAGAGACCCCAAAACCCCTTTTTTTCAGGGTGCTCATTGAGGTGGGTGCCGCTCCAGCCCACTATGGTCCGGCACTTAGGGATGCGCTCCGTACCACGCAGCGCAGCAGCTGTGAGCCTGGTGGGATGCCTCCCGTGGTTAAGGCTGAGCAGCACATGTGGGTTACCAGGGCAAGAAATTTTAATTATCTTTCTTAATCAGTGTGATTTCATAACAGCACCTTGAAATCTTCACCTGAAACTCTGAAAATGCCGTTGAGTTGCCGCCAACCAAATCAAACACCATGCTGCCCTTCCGAAACCGTTTCTGATTCATATTGGAAAGATGCTGCTGTATGCTTCTCTTCCTCGCTGCCTGCCTGCGCTCCTGCCCATGCTCCTGCCTGCATTCCTCCTTGCCTGGAGCTATGCCAGGACCTTGTTCCCTCTTGGCTTGGACTCTAGCTTGGCTTTCCCAGCGCCGGCATGACCCATCTGCATCTCTCCCCCTTTGCATTGTGTATTTGCCTTAACATTTTGCGCGGTGGGTGCTGCCTGCAGGGTGTCTGCACAGGCAGGGTGTCACCCAGCGATTCGGGGGACCAGGCGACGGGCAGCATCACTTATTTTCCAGCTGGGTCCTGCTGCGTGGCAGCGAGCGGTGGTGCTGCAGCCGCTTACGGCAGGATTTGTCCGCCTGCAGCCCAGGCGGTGCAGGGTTCCGGCTCAGCGCCCTGGCTCACCGGGGTCTGCACCGAAACGTCGGCGCCTGCAGCTGCCCTGTGCAAAACCCATGATTTCTGTTCCTTCG